AACTTCAACTTCAACTTCAACTACTTCCTTACCTATCTTTTGAAGGTTTTGATATCCTCTAGAAAGGAATTAAAGCTAAAATGACAGTTGACAGTTTTTCTCTGATTCTCTGAAAATCTGAAGGACAAAGAACGTGTGGTTACTGACAGCGTCTCCATTGTTTTACTGATCTTCAGGGTGAGATTAATGTCATAACGCTTCTCAACACTTTGCTCCTGTTTGCAGAAACATTAATAGTGCTGAGACCCGCTACTGTGAAATCATCAGAAAACTTGATGAGATTATTCCAGAATCGGCAGCAGCCCGGCAGAAAGCTGGAATTGACAATCAAGACAATGATCTATCCATGGTCATATTATTAAAATATAATATTAATGGAAAAGTAAATCAATTCAATTGCTTATGATTATGGTAAAGCAACAAAAAAGCTCAAACCTATAACATAGACGCTTCTCTACTTATGAACTTTCAACTTACGAACTTTCAGACATACGAACGAAGAGGACTCTAAGTCCAAATTGTGTTCATTGGGCTCCAATTTCCTGTCCGCAATATCAATTTTTTTTCTGCGCACCATTTCCACCCAGTATGACTTCTGCCCTCTACCCCCTCCGCACAGCAGCGTAGCGTGCGAACTCCCAGCATCCTCTGAAACATTTCAAGTTACGAACGGCCGTTCGGAACGTATCTCATTCGTAAGTAGAGGAGCGTCTGTATAACCTTCAAAAGGAAACTGAAGGCATCACCAAGTAAATAAAAGACATTTACTTACACATTATAACATTTGCATAATTCTGGTCCAAAACATGCCATAATATGAATTGCTCAAAAGCTGCTTTCAAAGGCAAAATATTTAAGTGCAAAAAAAAACTGTAATCCCCTTATGTTTGGATATTACTGTAAAATTAAACCCATTTATAATTAACGGAACAGCAAACAAAAACTCAAGAATTTCTGTGATTATAATTTGCAAAATCTTGCATTTAGCAACCTGGCTGGAAATAATAAGAACATTGTTTCAAATTAAGCTAATTCAACCTAAATTAGTTATTTCGGTAAGTTTTAAAAAAATATCGTTTTACATAGATCACAATTTGTGTTATTTCAAAATATCAATATTTAACAATAAATGAACATTTAAAAAATTACAACAGATTACAAATATCAGTCATTGAATAAAGGCACCATTTGAGAAGGTCTGCATAATAAATGGAAACAAATAAGTTAATTATGGAAAGAAAAATAAAGAAATAGATTCCACACAGAATACTTCTTTGCAGTTCAAGCATCCATTTCAAAAAACACTCAATTATCCCGTGGATAAAACATCATACATAAATGTATGTATGTATAGTTTGGGGATTTTAAGGTTTTAGTGCCAGAAAGAAATGTCACCTCAAAGAAATAATCAGCCTTGTTTGGTTAGTTGGTGCTAATCAAACACCATCATCCACGTAGACAAAAACATAGGAAATCTCATGTGAGGTACATCGTGTGAAATTGTAGCTCATGGTCCGGCATTTGAAAACCTGATCAGTGACAACACCTGATATTGTTTCATTAGTAAAAATACATGTTTAAGCCCCAAACATCTGACAATGCCTTTGGACACTCCACTCTGGTCAGGCTTACAACGAGCTTCTCTCCCACTTTATGATATATAATGCTGGTCTACAGCTGCAGTCTAATGGCCACTAGCCTATAAAATAAGAAAAGCACATCCCAGGGAGAAACAAATCCAGCTCATGATACCTGAGAGATCGTGGATGGTTCTAAAATGAGCCGTGGTTCCACTCCACATCATGACCCTGCAAAATAGCTGTGTGCTAAACCAGGAACAAACAAGCCCCGACTTGCACGGTGGGTATGATTAGCATGCGGTGTCAGTCGCTACACACCCACCGCGGGTTCGAAGGACTGAACTATTCGCTCAGGGCAAGAACAGAATCCAGCTGAAGGAGTCGGGGCACTGACAGAACAGCCAGATCTGGAAGTAAAGGCCCACAGTGGGTCTGGGTGCCTCATCTGCCAGTGTTATAGCGTGGCCAGGATCCTGAGGAAGGAGATGACGAGTATGCAGAAGGACTGGCCCACTCCGAACACCAGGGCTTCCAGGGAGATCATCGTCTTCCCAGCAGCTTTGTACACTCCTGCTATAGCAGCACCTGTGACCCACACAGACAGGAAATGACATGTGGAAACAATGTCCTTCATAAGCAAGCAAGGGCATCTTAAATATATTACAATACATCCTGCTCAACTGAAGACCTTTTGGTATAAAATATCATTTGTTATACGCTTAATGATGTTATTTTTTTCCCCAGGATGCCATGTCCACTCAGGTCTAAAGGAGTTGCTGGGTAATTTATAAATAAGTATAATTTCAGATGACTGCTAGTACCTTTTTCCAGTTCGCATCTATGCTCATGGTTTCTGAGCTTGGGCTATTGTTTTCTTGAACAAATAATGAAGTTAAATGACTTCAAAGTGATTTTCATATTAATGAGGCTACACTGATTATGTCACCCCTTGTAGTGAATAAGAGTTATTCCAGGTTCCTGCATTGGGAGTGCTGTAACATGTATTTTTAAAATATACAGTACAACAGTATTTCCTTTCAAACCTGAAACATTTAGGTTATGAACAGTGTTGCAGAAGTTACTTTTGTGAGTTAAGCAGTTAAATACAAAGAGATACAGTCACAAAGTGTTCAGCTGGTTGGTTGAAACTAAACTTTAGTCTGGATTTGTACTTTCTGGACCAGAACTGTCTGTGATGGATTACTTTTGTGAGTAACTTCCCCCACACTCGTTATGAAACCATGTTGTTACTGTAAATACGAGGCCTCCTACTGGCCCGTATCAGGGACTGAGTAAAGAGCTGTAATTCCTGGGAGTGACGAGCAGACACGGAAGGAAGGCGGCACAAACGGAGACGAGGGACGTACTGGTGAGGACGCCCCCGCAGAGTGGGCCCACGATGCTCATCAGCATGATGGCAATGGGCATGAAACGCGCCACGCGATGCTGCCGCAGGGTGCCCAGTGCCAGGAGGGCGGCAGGAAGGTGAAACATCAAGGAAGAAACCACGGTCCATAAGAACACTCCGTACCACATCTCTGAGAGAGGGGGCACACGCAGGACGGTTGCGTCAACCTTTACGGCTTTTTCCATTAAAAAACGATTTAATGTCGACGATATAAGTGCATTTAGAAGTCGTATACTCACAAAACACCTGGGATCTAGATGTGTGAAATGATCCTTCCTCCATTACCACGACATAATTTAATCGATGTCATAATTCAGTGCCAAGGCTACATACATATACCTATCGCAATACTACAGTTTAACATAGTCATGAATAAAGATCTGCCCTTTGAAACCGGTTGGAAAAGTGGAAATACTTTGTTTTTTAAAGGTGAACATCGTCCAAAAGTTGCTACGTGTGTAAATAACATTTATCGTTCCAAGTTTACTTTAATATGTTCAGCAAATAAAACTAACTGCTACGTTAGTGGGATCGATTGCAATGACACTGTAAAATGTACTTACCTGAAAAGTCGCAAAGCGATGTGTCGTTACCACACTTAGTGCCATTTTCTCTTGGGACCAAATTCAAACTGAGAATTTGCTGGACAAATCCTATGTCACTATACCCAGTCTGCATTGTTGGGACATCGAATACAACATATACAGCGACGGAAGAGCTAAAAAACTGAATTAAAAATAACACAGACTCGGAAATATCTGTCTTCCCGAAGGCACTTAAACGAAACTTGAAGATCGACGTCACGAAGCTCAGCCTACTGTACCCCTTGCATATTTTCTTCGCGCATTTACTGCTTTCTAAACCTACCACTGAGACCTGAATTCGCTTAATTAATGCAGGATGGTAAAATATTCAGAAGAAACTATTACAGAACTGTAGTCAAGTGAACCATTTTGTTCCAATAACCCACGCCAACCAAAACAAAACATAAAAGGAGATCAAAATAATGTACGACAATCGCGACGGGATATTATGACCCTATGCGTTTTCCGTAGTTCCGTTTTCATTGGTTAGTTGTTGTCGCGGAATTTATACATAAGGAATTTCGGCGTCGCGCTTTGGGGTTTTTGTTAATAGTTTATGCGTATATTTTACGAAAAATATGAACATTTCAGATTACGATTCCGAAGATTATTCCTCAGGCGAGGACGCAGATTATATACCCTCTGGTAGGTTAATGGATAATGTAGCTTGACTTGGTTTCGTTTTATCGGAGACGTTTGCGTGTTGGCAATTGTGAGTCTTAGAATATTTTTCTTGATGCCTTTAAATGTTGAGTTTCCCTTGTACAACTGTATCCGAGTATTGCTCTAAGCAGTACAGTTGTTTTTCTTTGTATATTTTAATGGTAACTCTACTCACGTACAATATATTTGCTATATTAGCGTCGCCCTGTAAATATATATTTAACCATCTTTCCTCATTTCTAAAGTACTGTAACGGGAGAAAAACATCATTGAAGAAGTGGCATAATCATTTGATTCATATTATGAGATATGAGTATCACTTAGTATTATAGTATTATACTATGCGTATGTATGTGTTTTCTACTACAAGTATGTTAACGTATACCACCTCATTTGAAGCCGCCGTCTCATGATCCCAAAACCAAAATGCATTTCAGATGATAGCCTGAGTGAAGATGACATGAACGAATGCGTGAACGAGGACGGGCTCGATACCCAGCAAAATGAACTGCAATCTAAGGGAGTAAAGAAAAAAAAGAGCAAGAAAGCGGTCGGGATGAGGTAGGTGACACTTGACAGATGGCACAGCTCTGTTTTAACTTCAAAGCAGGGGTGCGTGGGGTTGCGGGTTAGGATTGATTCCAAATAACTTGGAAGGTAATTGGTTCAGCCTGGGTTGTGGACCTGATGTGATACGCTCTCCAAAATCTCTAGTGGCACCCATGATAGTTGATGGTAAATTGATATATAATCGTGTGTGTGTGTTGAGTTAATCTATATTTAGATAACAAGGTATTACAAATAAGCATTTAAATGCTATGAAAGTAATGAATTATAAAAATTGTTGGCAGTGATGGCGTCCCTCTTGTGGGTCAGTAAGTATGTGCAATGGAATCCATCACTGCTGTTTACATTAATCCGGACAGGAAAAGAAAGAAAGGGGTGTTAAAACTGGAAGACAACAGCAGTAAAGAAATAAAAGAAGGAGAACCAGGAACACAGGATGAGGAGCAAGGAGGAGAAGCAGGTGATGATCTGCCTGTGGGCCGGGAAGATCAGGAGAAGAAGAGAGCTGACGATCTGTGGGCCAGCTTCCTGAGTGACGTCGGGCCCCGGCCCAAGGCTGCCGCCCCAGAGCTCCTTCCCTCCGCTACTGACTCAAAGGTACTGAAGGCCTCTGCAGGACTCTGTGGTTCTGATGTCCCCCAATAGCAGGACGTCACTTTAGAGCAGAGACAATTCTAGGGACTCTGGGGGCTGTAGGCAAAAAAACAGAGGAAATGGGGCCTTCCAAGTCTCCCACTCCAGACAGAGTAATATTTATTACCATTATTTTAGTGTGAAGTCTAAATGAATAATATCACCAAAGAGTAATTAATAAATAAAAGTCCTTTATTTCCACTATTGTTAAAAACAATTACACAAATAAATCTGATTCGTCACTGCAATGAACAAGGTAATCAGTCGCCCTCTGGAGATCCAGGCAGTTGCCTGTACTGTCGCTGCACCTCTACTCTAGAGAGGATGCACACACAAATATCACATACTGCAGACCTGTGTCCGTCAGTTTGAAAAGCACACTGATTTCTGATGAACAGCGGTAAAAATGTGTGTCTCCATGAATAGAACTTAACATCTCTAAAGCAGAAGTCTTTTAGGGTTACCTGGCTGCTGTGTAAAACGTAGCACTGCATAAGTGACACACTTTGGAAATTGTTTGGTCTACTTTTCTAAAAGAAAATTAGGTGATTTTTGGTTAAAATAAAAATAAATAATTATTTTGTTTATTTCTGTCGCTCAGCCTTTATATTTTGACATTTGTTTCTGGTTAATTGTGTATAATTCGGTTAATTAGAATATTCATCCCTAGATGGTATTACTGATAGTAGCTCCTGCCTATATCCATCATATCCGCACCACACAGTTGTTAAACGTAAATGGACTGCATTTACATAGCGCTTTTCTACTCCTACGAGTACTCAAAGTGCTTTACCAGTGG